GCTTAATGAATTAAAGCCAAAAGTATTAATTTTTTCCCACACATATACCCACTGAAATAGCAATGGTCAATTAAGATATAAAATCTTCCTTAACAATTAGGCTTCAGTTTTGCTCATTAAGAAATAATGTGGAGGGGAGGGAGCACTAGAATTGATTGTGATTACACAACTCATTTTAAAAGCGATTTAACCATGAAAAAAAAGTTCTAAAATTGATTGTGGTAATGAGTGTATGATTCTTCTTAATATGAATTGTGTAAGATGTAGATTATGTGCTGATCAAACTGTAAAGAGAGAGAGAGAGAGAACTGGAGCTGGCACCACCAGAACGGCATGACTGAGGGCGGCGCCCTGTGAAACAGGGAACCGCTGAAGGATTTGTGAACTGATTGTTGGGTGGGACCTCATTTGCTGTGTACACTCTTACACTGGGCAAAACATTCGACAAAGAATTTGAGTTCTTTTCTTAGAAGCACATGTAGTCAAGCATTCTTTAAGCTGATACAATACTCTCTGGATTTGTACGCTGATTGGAAATCTCAGCACTTGACTATCAATTTATAGGTGACTGAACATTTTTAAAACATGCATCTTCAAAGGATCAATGAGCAACATGGCTGCGATGATAAAAGGACGTAAAGGGGCTGACAACTCCAACATACCTTCCTTTTGTTGTGGTAGGTGACATAAACCACAGCAATACAAAAAGCAAAAATGACGAGGTGGAAAAAGAAATGGCTGTCTTCCTCCTCGAGGTCTGCGGACGGGGTCTGGAGGGACTGCACTGGCTGCCGGAGGTCCACGTAGCCCCTGCTCTCCTCCAAGCGCTCCCGGGCCTCCTCCTCCTCCTGCCGGGGGCTGCCGGTCCACTCGTACTCGCCGTACTCGGCCGTGTCAGGGCTGTCTCTGGCTGTGCCTGGAGAGCTGTTCAGTGAGAAGAGCACCTCCTCGTCCAGGCTGGGGTCGTCGGCGTCCGCGTCCTCCTGGGCCAGAGTGGTCGGGGAGGGCTGCGGGGCTGCAGATGCTGCCCTGCTTTTCTCTGCACTGGTGTGGGGAGGGAGGGTGGTGCTCATCGGAGCCACGGAAGCGTTGGCTTGGGGGTCATGTTGCACTTCAGCACTTGCATTTGTAGTGGACACTCCTGGGCTGTGAACAATTGACTCCACTGAATCAGTCAGGGCTGCAGCTGCAACACATGAACAAAGACCATGCGATGAAAACCTCCGCCTGTGCTCTACAACGCTACGGGCATGCACGGCAAGGTGTCACAAGACCGTCCAACACCGAGCACTTCCCTCGCTTTAAATTCCCATCCTGCTCTCCTGCTTTAACTTTGTATCCTCCTCTTTGGGGGACGTTTCTGGAAGCACTCACATTGTGCTTCCTGGCCCTCAATGTAGCAGCCCACGCCCCTCTCCCTCCTGGATTCTCTACTTCCATTCCTCCTCCTCCTCTCCCGGCCCTTCCTTCCCGGGCAGATGCTGACACTCCGTCTGCTCTGGCAGACTGTACTGCGGCCTCCACTCCTTCACTCCTGCCGTTAGCACTCACGTTCCAGGCCTGCCCACTGAAAACTGATCCCTGGCAGTGGCTACAGTGCCAGGCTTGAAGGGCAGCTGATCTTGAGAACTGGTTAATAAGCCTCCACAGCCAGCAATCAGCTACCTTTCTTCCTCATCAATTATTAATCAGATAGCAATTGCTTTGCCAGATAGCAACAAGGGAAGCAGCCTAAGAGACCTCTCATTCATAGCTGGCCACCAAGAGAGAGGTCTGCCTTTATTGGGTCAGAGGGCAAAGTCCACAAAACTCTACCCCACCCCATTTTTTTTACCCCAGAGGTTGGACGGCAGGCATCCTTGTCTAGACTTCACCCCATTACAGACAGACGGGGGCTGATACCAGCCCAAGAGTCACAAAGGAAACATGGCCCCAGATTTAAGTGCATTCATCACAACATACGCCATTCAACTAAAGCTTTATAAGCAAGCGTTTCCAAGGGACCCTGGAAGATTCCCTCGCCCAATTTAAAAATATAAGAAGAATGCTTTGGGGGGAGGAAAACTCTTAAGAGGCAAAAACAGGGAACTGAAACCTGAACGCTAAATGTGACTGCGCTATTCCAAGATGACAAAAGACAATCTAGGTCTGAGGAATGACACCGAGTGCATACAAGCTCCTGCAGCTCTGAACTAGTTCACTCCAGTTCCACCCCTGCGGAGAACTTGCATTTCCACGCTGTGATCGTTAGGTTTTTTGTGTTAACAGCAACCGTAAAAAGATATGGGTGGAGTTTAGTCTATCAGGTCACAGCTTGATGACCTCATCTGGAGGTGCCACCGAGATAAACGGCTCGCTGGAGGTGGGCCACTCTCTCTCTGCCTTCTCCTCCCTCTTGACACCAGATGGAAACCTGCCAGAGCCCTGGGGACGCGCCCACCGCCACTGGATCCACAGGACTGTGCCCACCGGACTGTGACCTTCCTGCATTCTGCATCCTGGCACGTGGCTGCGTGAGTCTGAAGAAGGTCTAGCATCGAACTTTTGGACTGGGCTGGGCTGGGGAGTTTTCCTGATATATAAAGTTTCTGGATATAAAGCTCTGTCTTATACATAGATGAGTGTCACTGGATTTGTTTCTCTCGTCACCCTGGCCTGCCACAAACCCAGATACACTGAAATCAGAATCCCAGAATCTTGTGAGAACATACGCTGTGATTCTGTATACGTGGGGTGGAAATACAAATTCTCCACAGGGGGCTGAACCAGAATGATCACGTTCAAACCCTGGGTCCTCCCAGTCTGCATGCTTCACTAAAGGTAAAGCATTTTACTGAGTGAGTCTGTATTACAGCTTCAATTCTGAGCACCAGGTTTGTGCAACGCTTTGGTTTGCAGTGGGTGGGGTAGACCCCCTCAGTATGTCCACACAAACCAAGCCCCAGTGAGCCGTTTAGACCACTGCATTTGCTGAGACACCCTTGGCCCGCCCGGGGAGGGCTGTCTAGCCCTCAGTAACTTACTGCCTGGGCATGCCTTTGACGGAAATTGAGGTATTGGGTCACAGGGTCATGAGACATGCCCCGACCAAAATGGTCAGAAGGTCCGGATTTAACCTTATAAACCTTTCTTATCCCAGTCACAGTCCCTCCCTCTCTGTAGCCTGCGAGTTTCCCTTTGTGTTCCATGTCCTGTGTAAGTAGCCGTACAACTGACTGTGACTGCTTACACACCACAGGGCTCGTGCTGATGGCCTCCCTCAGCTGGATCAGCTGTCTTTACCTTGTTGCTACGAGTCTGAACCTACTCCATGCAATGGGGTTTCCCCAACAACAATTCTACACAACAAAACTTCAGAGGAAGTCCTGTTAGATATTAATCTACTGTAGCAGCTCTTCAAGAACTCTGAGGTGGTCATTCTTTTAAAAATATGAACTTTGTTCCTTTAGACCTAAATATCCTAAATGTTAGTCTATCAAATTAAAGCAAAGCCGTTCACAGGTATAAGATTAAGACAAGCCAATCCATGAATAGAGCAGACAACCCGTTATGTGAACACACTCTGGGACGTGACATCTATTTGAACCAGGAAAAAAGAAAATTGCTAGTCTCAACTGGGCCGAACAGAACCTCCCAGAAAATACTTTAACAAAACTTTAAAACTGTCTGACATCTTTCCTCATAGCTATTTTCTGACATTTCTAACTGGGAAAAGCGTAAGCAGCTCCTTCAGGTGAGCACATTACTCAGGAAACTATTACCAGGAGTTACTAAAAACGATCTTTACATTTGTCACCTGGCCTGAGGACGACACAGGCACTGAAGAAGTACTGTTTCTCTGGAAAGTTAATTTTCTTGCCAACTTGTGGGAAATAGGCTAAAAATAAAATCAGGAAGTAAAATAACTGACCAGGGTTGCTTAACCTTGTTTTTTTGAAAGAACGGTTTTTCTACCCTGGACTTTCTCTGAAGGGCATACTTGATGGAGATGGGCCTGAGGATGGTCTTCGTTGCCATCTCCCACTCTCTCCATGTCCAGAACCCCCACGCCACCCCCACCCCGTGCACTCTGAAAGGCGTCCTGGTGGCGCTGCGGTGAGCCTTGGACTGCTGGCTTCACGGTCGGCAGTTCACATCCACCTTGGAGAAAGACAGGAGCCAGAATCAACTAACGGTCCTGGGTGTGGGTTTCTTGTTTGGTGCACTCAAGACTCAGTCAGCAAATCCTTTCTTGCTGTAAGCGAAACTTGTTTCTCCCATAAGGACATGCTTTCCCTGCAGCCCTTTCAATTAATGGTTGTTGTTTCCTACCATACCTTTTACCACTAAGTCAATCTGGAGAAGAGGGAGCTATCCTCCATCCTCAGGACCCATTCCCAGCCATTCCCCAGCCCCCTCCTTCAATGCCCCCAGCTTTGATCCTCCTGGCACCAGCTCTCACCCATGACCCTGAGCCATGCCCATTTCTCAATCATCGCAGCCTGTCCTCCTGCCTTGATTTCCATGATGTGCCTTTCCCCTTCTCTTAGCCACTAACTCCCAGGGCCATGAGCTGCCACCGGGGCTGTTCTATCCTTTCAATATGAGTGTCCCTTCGCTAGCACGTCTCCCATCTTCCAGGTCATTCCCGGATCCTCGGACGGTCAGCATCACCCCTCCGTTGAGGCCCTCATACACGCAGTGCACTCTGTGCCCTCTTCACCCCGATGCAATGCTGGGGTTCATCGGGGTCAGCCTCTAATCCCTCTCTTACACACACCTCCGACTCTCTCCCCCTTCACCCCAGCCCACTCACTTGGAAGACCATGGACCTAGTTAGACCCAACTCTCGAGTCCTCCCCATCTGCACACTGTGCGGATGAACATGGCAACAAAAAATACACAACTCTGTCACTTTTGATAAGGGCCTTCAAAAAGGTAATGGAAAAAATACTTTTTCATTCCATTTCTCCATGAACCTTTGAAGCCCCTTCATATTTCATTTTAAATCCCGTGCTGACAAGGGCACTGAATTCCCCTGCTCCATGCACCTCCCGGCTCCTGAGAACAACTGCCAAAGCCCCCGCTAGCCTCAGCTGGCCCACGCTCCCTCTGTCATCTTCACTTCTCACAGGACATCCACTCCCCGTGTCTCTGAGAAAAAGGGAGCCATCAGAAGGGAACCTCCATGAGCTACTCGACTCAGAAATCCAACTGCCTACCTGACAGCACTCTGCTCAAAAAAGACATTCTGACTTAGTTGACAGAATGATGAATTCTAGATACAGCTCTCTATTCCTCCTGCGAAGAATAACTAGAAAACGTGGGCATTATTTATCAGAATAACTTAAGAAGTTACTGAGAAGGCAAGAGGGGCTAGAAACTGAGCCAACGGCTAAGAGATGACAGGGTGAGGTGTTCCCTGGGTTTTCTTGTTGACTCGTGTATTCTGCACTGGCACATTAAAAGGCCAGAGTAAAATCAGACTCAAAATGAGTCAGGATAAAAATGAGTGAGTTCTGAAGGACCTGTGGGTCTACAACAAAAGCGCTAACGCATATTAGATTGGAAGGGGTGGAGAAGAGGGCAGAGCTGAAAGTGTGCCCAAAGGAATAATGGTTGAAAACTGACACTGTCTCGAATCTGGGGAAAGGGAAACACAGCACGGAGGGAACACTGAGCTCCTAGGAAGATGATAGAAAAACTCAGAAATAGTGATGGTTTTTAACATCACTGAACTGCACGTAGACAGCACAATGAATTGACAAATGTTTCCCTATACATATGCCAGGATTTAAAGAGAAGGAACAGAATCTCTAACAATAAATGCTTTAGTATTACATTTAGGTGATCGCTGAGGAGCCGTGGAGCAAATGCTGAGGAGCAGGCACTTGTAAAAGGCCTGGCAAGACGAGGACACACAGAAGTAATCCAAAACAGTGCTTACATTAATCTTGACTATCAAAGCAAAAGCATTAAACTTTAAAACTCTTACAGACCACTAAGAATACATCTAAGCACTGAAATTTTAAGAAGCCACACAAGAAACAAGTTTAATTAAATCTGATAGGGGAATCTTGAAACGTTTATACTTACTTGACATATGGCACTCAGCATATTCTATATTTTAACTTTCTGTTATTGTTGTGGTTACAAGAGTGATTATTCTAAAATCACTATTTGCCATGGGCGTGCTTATCGAAATATTTCTATGGCACCAAGCTTTGTAACCATACCCTGTCCTACCACAGAGCTAATCCTTCATTAAAGACATGTATGTTCGTTCTCCACTTATTTTAGCAGAGGATAACCTGAATTTATAACACTTAAAATCAGCATATGTAAGGACCTAAGTTCTATTAAAAGCCCCTAAAAGGTTCCATGTAATTCAAACAATATTTTTGCAACTCCAATAACTAACAGATGCCTTAATGCTCACACTCCCCATCACCAGCCACTAGCACAAGGCTGTCAGCCATCTCCTGGCAGGGAAAGAGTTGCTCCTGAAACATTCGCCAAATACATAGCCTCCAAACCATACCTCCGAGGCCTTCCAGCAGGAAATCCGTTTAAGTGCCATTTCTCCTTGGATGATTAAATGACTAAATGTGCTAATTTAAGTACTTTAGCTATAGCAATATTTGCATCAAGCAGGGACACTTTCATTACATTTTACAAATGATGAAAGGACCTTGGAAACACAGGCCACAGTCCTGTGATAGAGGAAAGTGTGTATGGAAGGGGGCGGGACAAAAACCCAAACTCCCCGCCAGGGAGTCAGTTGGTGCAGACCATAGTCAATGTCCCGATTCACAGCAACCCCACAGGCCACAGCAGAATCGCCTCTGTGGGTTTCTGAGGCTGTAAATCTTTACAGGAGTCAACAGCCACATCTTTCTCCCGGGGTGCAACTGGTGGTTTATGAACTGCTGACCTTTTGCTTAGCAGCCCAAAGTGTAGTCCACTACGCCACCAGGGCTGGCCAGACCTTCTTAAATAAAATAAGAGAAAACGACCTAGTATTTTTGGCACGTGAAAGCTAGACAAACGGTAAGGTAGACCCAAGAATCGATGCATCTGAATTATGGTGCTGGAGAGGCATATTCAAAGTGCGGGGGACTGCCAGTAGGATGCTGAAGCATCACCCACAGCCAGAAGAACAAACTAATCTGTCTCGGAGGATGTGCAGCCGGAATGCATCTTCGATGCACATACTTTGGCCACTCAGGAGAGACCAGTGGCAGGGTCGGTAAAAGAGGACGACTTCATGGAAAAAGAGGCTGACCCTCAAGACACGGAGTAACCCGGTGATTGCAACAAAGGGCGCAACCACACGGCCATCATCAGGAGGGCGCAGGGCCAGGCAGGATTTCATTCAGAACCAACGCCATGGCTCTGAACCACCTCACCAGCCGGTTCATGCTTTCTCCACCGGAACCCCACCAAAAACATTTAGAGCAAAGACGAAGATTCGGTCTGGGTCTGCAAGGAAAAGAGGTACGGACTCCACCAGCTCTTTGCATGCTCACTATCAATTCTTACAGCGGCACGGGGTCTCGGGTCCTGGGCTTCCGGGTGGCCTCATTTCTTTTTCTTTTAATCGTTTTACTGGGGGCTCATACAACTCTGATCACAATCCAGACATACATCAATTGTGTAAAGCACATTTGTACATTCACTGCCCTCATCATAATCAAAACATTTGCTCTCCACCTAAGCCCCTGGCATCAACTCATTGTTCCCCTCCCTCCCGGCTCCCCCGGCCTCATTTCTTAATAAAACCTTTTCGAGAGCTTGGTTCGCAAAGTAACGTTTGCAAGAAAGGAAACCCTACTTAGTGACGCCCCACAGGCCCATAATAAGAGACGAGGTTGTCCTTTTGCAGCCAAGACATAGGGAAAGAAAGTCGACCGTGCTTACCACGAACCTCCCAGGTCCCGAACGCCTCCCTCCGAGCCCTGGAGAAGCGCAAGGCGCGCGGATTACCCGGTACAGAAACTCCCCGCCTCCAGAGATGCGCCGGTGGCCCCAAGAACGCTCTTTCGCCTTCATTTTCGCTCGGTCCGGCTACTTCCCCGGCCCGCCCCAGTCTTGCCCCGACCTGCCGCCGTCCGGGAATCTCCCAGCCTCCCGCGTTCCCTCCGGGTCCCCGAGACGCCCTTTGGGACTCACGCTACAACCCCGGCCATGTCTTCAGCCCAGTCCCCGCCACCCTCGGCGCCCCGCCACGGCCACGCTCCCGGCGACAAGCCAGTCTTCGGGTCCCCCAGCGCTCCCCGCCCCTGGGTCCCTAGCACCCCTCGACTCCACTTCCCAGGCCCCTAGAGACAGACCCCCAGCCCCCCAGCCCGGCCAAACACCCTATTCTGCCTCCTCCGGGCCGCAGGGGCACCAGTCCCTCCGGACATCGCCGTCCGAGCTCGGGACCCTCGGAAGCGCCCTCCGCCCGGCCCCGCCCGTCTCCGGTTCGCGCCGCGGCCGCCGGGGCCCGCCGCCATTACCCGTGGCCAGCGTGGTGGACGCCAGCAGGAGCGCCAGCGCCCACGGCCGCGCCAGCCTCCCAGCCGCCTGGACGCTCCGCGCCGGGCCCCTCATCCTCCCCAGGGCGGCAGCAGCCATAACGGACTCGACCCGGAGCCTGCGCTGTTGCTAGGCGCTACGTCACGGCGTCAGGGAGCACGTCAGGCGCCGCGGCCCGGGGCGTCTACGTCCCAGCGTGATGACGTAGCCCAGACCGGCGGGGCGAGGCAAGGGGCACCAGTGTCTTCAGCCCTGGGGATTTCAGAACTGGGCTGTGGGTCAACCCCCTGGTCCCCAAAGCGAAATGACTGCCCCCTTCCCTCCCAAAGGAATGTTACACAGTTAATGTTAATACTGGCCCTATAGGGTATTGTAATTTTTTAAAATCCTTTTCTGCAATCATTTATCATGACGTTATTTAGCACCTGTATTTCAGGTTAGAGCAATAAACGAAGCAAGTCTCCTGACTAGAGTTCTTGTCAGGTCCAGGATAGTATAAAACATATAATATATGAAATAGTAATGGCAGTAAGGATGAAAAAGAGGTAGGAATAGGAGGTAGGGCCGAAGGGTTGCCATTGTGAATAGCTTCCAGATTCCCTGCAATAAACTATTACTTTTTTACATTTTATTATTTATAATAACTCCAGTATATAAAATGCAAATTTAGGGTCTTTTGGGGAAATCTACTCTGACCCTTCGCACAACTCTTCGGGCTGATCTGTGGGTGTGTTGTGTGGCTGTTTCTTTAATAAACATCTACAAGGCTTCGATTTACGTGCCTTCCATGGGTCAATTTTCAGGAAAATCGGTGTGGCATAAAGCTACGCATTTGTTGTACCCACAGTCCCACCACTCGTCTCAGGAAACTGCTGCTGCTCCCAAACCGCCTGCCTCTCTGCACAGAGAAGGCCTATGTGCTATTCCTACCTCTGGTTCCCTCAACATTTATCTGGCCCCGCGACAGCTCCGAAACACACGTACACTGTGTGATTAAGAAAACTCAGAGCTCATTCATCTGCTCACTTCCCCAAGCCCAGAGGCTGAATGGTGCCTTTATTGCCAATCCACGAAGTTGGCCCGAGTCGAAAGTCCTCCCAAGAGAGCATTCCTTCTTCACAGAAGTGGGCAGTGATGGCCAGGGTGGGGGGGTCTGCAGAAAACCACCACACCTACCATAACCAATGGCCCTTCAACCCTCGCTCTGCTTGGAGACGGGTTCAGACTCAAACACAGGGCTTTTCCTGCTGTGTCCACTCAGCCCATTTGGCCCTCAGCCAGATTGCCTCTGAACTTAAGGCATTTGAGGAACTGTGCCCAGTAATAGCCCAACATGTTGTACCCAACAGGCAGATGTCTGACAAATACCAGAAGGGAAAAACACCCTCATATTCAGAGGACCTTTTACGCTGTACCTGAGCTCTGATTGGATGTGCCCAGCAGTCACCACATGCCAGTCTCTGGACAAAGGCAACAAAGTTCAAAGGACTCTCTTGGGGAATGGCTGCAGGTGCTCACCCGTTCAAGACACGTCATTCCTTGAGGCCACTGGTTAGACAGATTCCTCCATCTGCTTCTAGTGGTCCTTTCCAAACACCCCTCATTAAAAAACCTTAAATTGTGCCTCAAAATGTGCATGAACGGGGGCATTGGGGAGGTCTTATTTGTTCAAGTTGGATGGCAGACTGTAGTTTTATTATTCTATGAAAATGTCAACTATCAAATGGCAACTCTACGTATATGGCAGAATCCCAAAAGAAACTCCCAGTGACTGTACCCTTGCTTGATGCCCTTGAGGGTGGTACAGACCAGTGGCACGATGGGACATGACTCATGTGACTCATCAGGTGGAGCTGAGTGGGTTCTGACTCACAGCAAACCCCACGTGTCAGAGAAGCGAGCATGCTCCGTAGTCTTACGATCGCCAGGTGTATACATGTCGGATACATGTGTTTGTAAGTGCTGAATCTACAAGGTGGTTTCAAAATTTTGGGGGAAAAGCAGAACTCAAATACAACACACTTTTCACACTCAAGCCCCCTCATATGTATATTCATGTAACACATCAGACAGGGGGCGGAACAGGCTTCCTACATCTATCCAAACGACGTGAGAAATTCTGTTTACTGGGTCAGAAGGCTTGGGAGTCAGGGCTCAGGGAACAACTTTAATTGGCATAACAGGCTCTTCTGAGGCTAACTAGTTGATGCCTGCCTACACCACATAAAGGAAATCAATACTGCCTCACCCCTGTGGGACCTGCAGGAGAACCCAGAGCTCCACACAAGAAAGCAGTCGGTTGACATCCCAGAGGCAGCACGGTGAGCAGCAGAACAGAGAGCCCAGCCCATTGCAGCTGCACTTGACCTCCGGACCTGAGGAATGAGTGCGGCTCTGAGCTGCTAGGTTTGTGGTTATCTGTTAAGCAGCAACCAAGCATCACTCGTATCCAAGACTCAGAGCAAGCGTACACACAGCAAGCAAGGGAGGGAGCTCCGTTTCCTTTATGTACACTTGTGTCAAAAAGGACAACAGAAAGAGGATGAGGTTTCAATATTTTATTCAAGTTTCATTTTAAGTGATGTTAATTACAGCATTTGATGGGGGAGGATCTAATTCCACACAAAACGGAAGACTCTAAAATGTACCCATGAAACGGCTAAAAAATAAACTGAGTGGAGAAGACACCACAGCCCAATTGAGGTTCTGGGTGCGGTCGCCGTGTGGTTCCTGTGACCGAGACCTTGCCAGCTCGCGGCCAGCCGGGGTGTTGTTGGTGTTGGGAGCTAGTCCACACTCTGGTGCAAGGACACTAAACCACAACTTGAGAGGGGGTAAGTCCTGGATTATTGGCTTCATCACACCTACCTTCTTCACCCCAAAATGGCACACACACACACACACACACACACACACACACAAATCAGCTACCACACCCAGCAGAGTACTTTTGGTGTAAAGAGGTGATGGCCTTTGGGGGGAAACAGGTCATGAGGATGGGTCTTCAAAAGCCCCTGTCGGCTGGGTGTGCCCACACCATCAAGCAACGAGCGCTCGGGTTAGCAAAGCAAGGTTGGACTCTCAGGAAGTGGTGATTTCACTCATGACTCACTGTGAATTGACAACGTGCCTACACACGATCAGCTTCCCTCGCAGCCATTTCTAGATCAAGAAGAAACCTGACATCTCTAGAAGGGAGTCACCCAGTCCACCGCCCCCCAAAGGCTACAGCTGAAAGACCTTTTTTTGGAGCCGGGTCTCTTCTGTACCTCAGAGAGGGGAACACGTTAAAGCTGAATCCGCTGTCACCTGGAGGTCTAACATGATATTGAGCGATGCTTGCATCCCAGACATACAACATTAACAGGTACACTAGAATTCTGAAGGTAGCTATGCTGCAAAATAGTTTAAAATTAGATGATTGTACAGTATTCGTTTATGCTTGGAATTCCAGTCCTAGACCAAGCTTGTGGCCACCGGCGTTGACATTCTTGCCGTCCAACAGAGCAGACAGTGTCAGCTTGATGCCTGCCATGAGGACATCCGGGCAGAGGGCGGGTGCGGTGGAGACGGAGGGGGAGAGAAAAGGAAAGTCAACAAATGACAGATGCTGATGCACACTGGCAAAGCCAGACCCTGCTCTAGCTGTGCTTGCTCAGCAGCATCAAGACCACCGGGCACTCCCACTGGGCTTCGCCCTTGACCAACAGATATCCCGCAGTGACTGTGGCACTGACAAGAGCCTCCCCAAAACCACTTGAGAGACCTCCACTCTCCACTGCCCTCTTCCCGCCCCTGCTACAACCCATCTCCACTGCTGGCACCCAAGGAAGTGTCCTCCACAACTGGCCCTTGACACAAGGATAAGGTGACCAGACGTCCCGCTTTGGGCGGGACAGTCCCAATTGTTAACAATTTGTCCCACGTCCTGCGGCATTTTTAAAAAGTCCCGATTTTTGGAAAGAATGCACGACAAGCTAGGGTATACGGTTTTCGGCTGCCATGTGGCTATTTCGCCAGGATGAGTTTTATCAATGGTGTCCCGCTTTACCAATTTAAAATCTGGTCACCTAACACAAGGACCCTGACCCAGACCCTGGGGTCCTACACTCACCTTCACAATGTGCACACACATTCATATCATGCACATGTATCACCCACACATGCATACAACTTACTAGTTTTCTCCCCTAAACTAGCTTGATCCTGACAGCATGGAATCTTACCCTTCCACGGTTGAGGCTCAGCATGACCAAAACAATCTCAAAGTGGCTCTATCTCCTATAGCTCTACACACCATGCCCCGCTGCCTAGCCGCCTGGGAGACACCCCTGCGGACTGCCTTTCTTATGCCTTAGCCTTTGTCCAGTAGGGTTGATGAGAGCTCACTGGAAATAAGATTAAGTATTTTGTACACAAAAAATGTCATCTCTATGAGCTTTGGCTTGCCCACCTCCCCTCCACCCACCCCCATTTACTGTGCTCCGTAGCCTATAAATGTTTCCGGATGACCCTGCCTCCTTTTACAACGTTTCATTTAAACGACACGGTTGAAAATACATTCTTTTACAATGTACTCCACATGCATGTTCAGGATAAGCAGCAACACAGTAGTAGACTGAAGACAGCACTGAGTCCCCACCCAGGGGCCACGTACCTGGCTTTAGGGTCTGAGTGTAGCCTAAACCGATCAGGCTGGAGTTGTTCACCTTTGCCTGGTTAGGGGAAAGAGAAGAGAGTGGAAATGCTCAGTACTTCACATGCCCAGAATGAATAAGAGCTCTTTACTCAGCGTGGGAGCTGAGCTGAGTCAGGATTTGAGGTGGCCTGGCAGTAAGACCCAGTAATCCCCTATGATGTGATCTAACGGCATGTGATCACCTCCATAGGGGATCTGCTGCTGTAGCCCATCAGGTGCAAGAAGACTAGGGTGGGGCACAACCCCTTCATCAGGTCACAGCCTCGTGGAATTAAGTGAAAGGGC